ATTGACATTCTATGATGAACATACCTTACTAGTATTGTTATCCCTTTTATATATCTACCTACTGCTTGGCTGGAAAATGGATCACAAAGGTGAGTTCCATTCCAGACCTGAAGGGTGGTCATTGGCCATAGACTTAGGTTCCTCCAGTCTCTCTCTGACCAGTAAGCATGGTGTTTCTTTTTATAATTTTGAGTTTTGTTCCACATTTTCTTCTACTTTACTTGGTAGCTTCTAATGTGATCCATTTCAGAGCAGTTGGGAGTGGTAGCTGGGCACCATCTAGTTCTTCTTGTCTTAGAGTCATGGTGACTGATGTTTACCTGCTCCCTTGGTCCCCTGGACCAGTTAATTCCAAGTATCTTCAATTTTCATCACTCTTCTTTCTTACACACATGGAGAGACCAGTAATTGCATCTTAGATGGCTGCTCATGAGGTTTTAAGATCTCATTCACTACTTACCAAAGTAGGATGTAGAGCATTGTCTTTGTGGACTTGTGCCATCTATTACCATGTACAATGAGTGTGAGAAGAAATGTAAGACCACAGAGTCAGAAATTCCAGGTATTTCACTGTGGGCTGTTTGGGGCTACAGAAATCACCAATGTGTTAGTCTCTAATTATTGCAACAAATGGAAATAAATTTAATCATAAAAATCATTTTAGCAGTGAGACATAGTCTCTAATTGAGGAAGTCAGGCAGATAAGCAAAGATTATTATTTTTTAAAGTTCTTTTAAAATTTTCTTCATTATAGTGTCATTAGTAATAATGGTATAAATATTAATTGGCTTTAACTTCAAGCTCAGAGGTTCAAACTCACCAGCCACTCCTCGGAAACCCAATGAGTTGGAACCAACTCAACAGCACTTTAGAAACACAACAATAACATCTATTGTGGAGTGCAAACCACAAGGTCCAAGGTTCAAGCCTGCCAGTTACTCTGCAAGAAAAAGATGAGGCTTTCTTCTCCTGCAAAGATTTAATGCCTTGGAATTCCTAAAGGGGGGTCACTATGAGTTGGAGCCAACTACATGGAGCTTACCAACATCTATTGAGAGGAAAGCCTACCATGTGTCAGACCCTGTACATTTTCATTAATCCTTACAGCAACTGTTTAAGATCCATATCACTGTACTTGTTTTGCATATGAGGGAATGAGGATAAGAAAAACTCAATAATTTTCCTAAATCATACAACTGACAAGAAGTCAGACTAAGATTCAAACCCAGCCTGGCTGACTAAAGAATCTTACCCCTACCACTCCTTGGGGGCATTTCTATTTATAATTTTGGTGATGTTTGAAAGGAATAAATGTTGTGGTTGTTAAGTGCCATCGAATCGATTTTGACTCATAATAACCCTATACAGAGTTTCCAAGGGGCAGCTGGTGGGTTTGAACCACCAACCTTGTGGTTAGCAATCCAGTGCTGATTCTACAGCATCATACCAGGACTCTGGAAGGAATCCATACATACTTATATATGGAGCTCCGGTAGTGTAGTGGTTATGATTCGGGCTGCTAACCTCAGGGTCATCAGTTCGAAACTACCAGCTGTTCTGCAGGAGAAAGTTGAGGCTTTCTGCTCCCGTAAAGATTTACAGCCTCGGAAACCCTGTACAGGGTCGCTGTGAGTCAGAACCGACTCCATGGCACATAACAACAACAACTATATATATATGTGTGTGTGTGTGTGTGTATTTTTAATTTATACTTATATTTTTATATGGTATAAAAGAAGGTTTCAGATGTAATGTAGTTTAGTTCATTACTGCTTAGAAGGACCAGTCTGTTGCAACCTAGTTGATTTAAGGCAAAATTCACATAATTGGGCTAAAAGAGACCAAAACATAATAATTCTTTCTTCAGACCAACCTTATTCAAATTATCATTTTGAAATTGAATCTACTTCTCATGGTCAGCAGTTTGAAACGATCAACGGTTCTATAAGAGAAAGATGAGGCTTTCTGCTCCTATAAAGATTTACAGCCTCTGAAACCCTATGCAGGTTTCAGAGTCGGAATTGACTCCACCGCACATCATCATCACCACCACCTGCCGTTAAGAACAACTACAACTTCCCCATTTGAAGTAGCCTTCATTTCATTGAAGCAAAGACTCACTTAAGCATCCAGTTCATTTAGAGACAACTTCTGTGAGAGATTATTTTCATTAAGGAAGGAAACAAATTCCTTGGACTCCCTACCTATCCCTTTAGTTGAATGTCTTTTGAAAGAAAAAGGAAACAAAGTTAGAAAGAAAAATAGAAAGAGAGCGAGAAAGGGAGGGAGGGAGGAAGAAAATTGCCCCCAAGGGAATTTCTCTAGTGGTCTAGAAGTCAGTCAGTCATCCTTTCTTATAATTTTTGAATTGTTGTTGGATGCCATGGACTTAAAGTGACTCTTTGCACAACAGAAAGGGCTCTGGTAACGTAGTGGTTAGGAATCTGGGTGTGAACCTTAAAGTCAGCAGTTAGAGACTACCAGCTGTTCCACGAGAGAAAGATGAGACTTTCTGCTCCCGTAAAGATTTTCAGCTTCAGAAACCCTGTACAGGGTCGATATGAGTCGGAACCGACTCCACAGCACATAACAACAACAACATGCACCAGTCCTGAAGAGCCTAGAAAATCTTAAAAGTATGTAGAAAAGGCTACAGTGGAAATCAAATAATGTCAAAATCCAAGGTTCATGGATATTGTGATGAGGCAGAAACCGTCACCTCATAATGACTCATCCGCAGGCTGCTCAATCCACTTTCCAAAAGATGTTTCTTTGTGGCCACCAGGGAAATGGCTATGCTGGCAAGTGGGAAGTTAATCTCATTGTCACAATGTTACTTACAGTGTCAGCCATGACACTGGCTTTTACCCATAGAAACTCCAACCTCCATGGCATTGTGTCAGGATAATATCCTGAAAACCTTTTAAAGGCCACCAAATTTGGAACAAATTTGGAACTGTATCTTCAGATACAGAGCCTGTCATTGGGAAGCTGCGTGTTCCCTAGAAAAAGAACCCAGGATCAGAGCTCAAAGACATTGTTGTTGTTGTTAAATGCCATCGAGTCGGTTCCGACCCATAGCGACCCTGTACAGTGTTTTCGAGGCTGTAATCTTTACGGGAGCAGGCAGCCTCATCTTTCTCCCGCAGAGCGGCTGGTAGTTTCTAACTGCTGACAGTAAGGTTCGCAGCTCGATTCATAGCCACTACACTACCAGAGCAAAGGCATACGGCTGATTTAATTCAGTTCTGGTAAGAGGTATCCTTGATGCCTCTGGCTTTATTACATTTCCTCTCTTCCTTTCTAGGAGCTGTATGTGACTTTGAAAAGGGCATTTCCCTCCTCTATTAGTTGGTTTCTTAGTCAAATGACAGATCTGATGAGATGGATAGCCCATGTTAGATATCCCATGTTCTTCAAGGCCATCAGGCTAACAAGATGATTTTAGAGGGAAAAAACACTTTCATGTTGACGCTATTGTTATCATCACTCTTTCCCCTTTTCACAACTCTAAACAGATAGAAACTCTAGAAATACTTTTCTTGCTGCTTAAAACGTCACTGCTCTAGACAACTCATACTTCAGTTTTGCTCTTTATTACCCTTAGATACACTTTTCATCACTGTGTTTAACAGCTGTAAGAGACTATGAGGAACAAATCCATTCCTCCACTACCACTTTTCAGATGAAGAAATTTGCAACCAGAACAATTCAATGACTTTCTCAAATGGATACAACAGATTATAGGAAGACCTCGTATCCCAGTCTTCAATTGATGCATTCCTTGAGAGAGTAGAGGTGTGATCAGAAGTGGATTTGTTGCAAACTCCTATTTACATTTGTGGGATATACATTTTAATGAGTTACTGTGTAAAAATGTAGCTAGAGCTCCACTTGACCTAACTACATTAATACCAGCATCTAGTGCAGGGAAGGAAACCTTTTCTCTGCCAAGGGCCATTTGGATATTTATAACATCATTTACTATAAACTTATGTTGCTATGAGAAAAACTCCTAGATTTATTGAATTTTTAGTCAAGTCTGCAGTTGCCCTGGCAGGGACAGACCAAATGATTTGGCAGCCTAATACTGCTTGTGCGTGGGCTGTTCCCAGTGCTAATCTAGAGTGTGCTGCTACTTTATGTATCATTTCTCAAATGCTTTTAAATGTCTTAAGTGGTAATACCATATCTTTGAAATCCTCACTGGTTTCTACAATCACTGATTTCATACCACAGTCCTTTCTTGAATGGGCACAGATCACCACTATCTTTAAATGTGCCCAATTAAGTGGGCTAAATCCTAAATTAAATACAGCATTTCTTACCTTTCTTTCTTTTTTTTTTTTTTCCCACTCAGGCATATATAATAAATTACATCTCCAAAGGGCACATTCTGCAAGTCTGCTCCTGGCCACGAGTTCTTAGTCCTTCTCCTCTTAGTTGATGAATCTAGAGTCCTCCATGCCCCCATCTCTACCTCCATCTCTGGTGCTGCTGCTTCTCTGGATAAGGTCCCACATTCTATTTGTGTGTTCCTCTCTTGATGGTCCTAGGGTCCTCTGTTTCTGGACTGTAAGATTAATCACTCCCCTTTTTTTTGTTACAAAACTTCTACCTTTACAATTGTGACAGTCGCGATTAGTCTTGATAACAATTATTCACTACTGAATCTTACGAATCTTATCCCCATCTCCTTTCACCAGACCCATCTAGACAAGATGATAACTATTCAGTGGGGACTCTTTCTTTCTCCCCACACTCTTAACTAAGCTCCCTCTTGAAACCTTGTAAGCCAGTCACTTCGTGCCTTTATAGTCCCCTCATTTTAGATAGCCAATATCTAAGCTGCCCATCCCTATCTACCCTGTGCACAGAGCGGATAGCATTGATACTTGATTTGAAGACTCTTTCCCTCTCTGTTGGTATGTAGAGTCTTACCTTTCTTTTGGTAAATGTTACATATCCAATAGCAAGAAAACATCTAATAATGACCTAACTTAGCTCCATTCCCAGCATACAACCCCTTTCTCTAGGTCGAAATTTGGGCTGGAGCTCAATGGGAAATTCCTGATAAATATCAGGGGCTTCCCAAATAGGAATGTGCTTCCTCCTTCCTCCAAGAAGCCTTCCCTGAGTGCCCCAGTTCAAAGTCATTGCTCCCTCTTTTGAACTCCTAAATCAATTACATTGTGCACTGCCCTTATATAAATTGTTGATCACTATTCTATAGCTGAAAGGAATATTATGATAAAGAAATCCAGTACCCCACCACTATTTTTCCAGATGAAGAAATTTAACGAGAAACGACAAATGGCTTTCTAAAATTTGTAAACTGGTTATTGGAAGTCCTCAAATCAGAATGCAGATCTTCTTACTCCTATTTCAGTTGTTCGCCACACCCCCTAAATTCTTATACTAGCTAGTTGTCATTCACTTTATTCTGTCTTCTATTATTATCTTTTTATGTCTTTTCCCTCAATTGTACTATTAATCTGCATATGATCTCGAGGGCAAAGATCATATCTGACACCTTTTTTAATTCTATCAAATTTAATTCTATCAAATTCTATCAAATTGCCAGAAAAGGAGTAAATACTCTACAGGCATTTGTCAATGGACTGACTTAATCTAGTCATTCCATCTAACTCAGTTCTACAACTAACTTTTAGTTCTTTCTGATATTTCCCTCTTAGAGTACTTAGATAAACCTCAAAATCCATATGTCATAATAAGATTGGAATCATATTGAAATTATTTATGCCTACATTTCTCTTCCTTTCTATCAGCTATAATAATACTGAACAACAATAACAACAACAACAACAACAAAAATAACAGGCAAAAAAAAGAATTATAATAAATAGCCTCATGTACTATCACCTCCTTACCTTGGATGGGAGAAAAAATAATAAGGCTATAATGCAGAAGCAAAGCAATTGGAAAATTATTGTTGCATAGAGGAAATATAGCTTCCAGGATGATCTTGTTGCTCCTTGAGGACTTGACTCGTTTAAAGGCATATTCTCCAAGTGACTCAAACTCATTTTCTGGAGGAATGAGAGCTGTGGACAGCAGATACTCACAAATGATGGGTGAACTATGCAACAAGTCATATTTTGTAGTATTATGGTAATTAGTAGTGGGTGTAGGAGGTGGAGTTTTCCTTCTGACAGTGTGTTGGAAAATGATACTTCTAGGCTAAGTGCTGACTCTCATTTGGATCCTGGCCAATGGAAAGAAACGGAAAGGAAAGGAAGGTTAAGAGCCAATACAAACACACAGGATAAAAGAACCGACACTAGGGAAGTTGTCAGAGGAAAATAATAAAAATAAAACAACTTCTTTCCTGAAGCAAGAGGAAGTGCAGTGGCACTCAATAGCCTCAGTATTGTACAGCATTCTAACTTGTATTTCCAGATGAGAAAATTGTGTTTTAGAGCAAGAAAGAAAGTTCAAGATTAGACCATAAAATGCTTCAGATATAGTGTACATTCTAGGTAAAGAATTTGGGGACTGAAAAGGGAAATACATGATTTGAAAAATATAGAATGCCATCAATTTCTAAGATATAAAATGCATTCTTTTTTTATACTTAAAAGATCAAGTTATTACTAGAATTGAATCAAAATTTAAAAATACAATGAACTCAGTTTTCTTATACCTTACAACTTAAAAAACCTAAAAACTCAATGCTGGTATCAAAAAGACATAGAGTTACCATACAAAAGGATATTTGCCGGTACCCTGCAACAGGTCTGAGCTTATTCCAAAAAAAAAAAAAATTAGAATTTCTTCCTGGCACCCAAAATGCCAACTCACTACAAAATTGAGGAAGTCCTGCTATTCTCTGTACAGTGGTATCCCTAGGGTTGATGTCACCAATGCGATAATTCGTGGAGTCGCCCCTTCCTCAATGAACCACCTCCCATGCCAGACCATACAGAATCCTCAGTTGTGTTTCCTATCAATTTTTATCAAAGAATAATGTGGTACAGCTGTACATTGCTTACATGCAAGGTTTTTTCATTATAGGAATAGTAATTAAATTGTTCAGTAAAATCTTTTTATATTGAATGACAATTTTGTTAGTTAAAATATTTGTAACAAAGCAAAAGTCTTATTTTGATTTTTCTCCTTCTTTTCCTTTAATTACTATTTTGTTCTCAAAATAGTTATTTATCACAATATTACAGTTAAAATGCCAGAAAATTTTATAAAACCTCTTTCCTGTCTACTGTAAAGATACTGTTAGCAACAAAACAATAGTGTGTGCTTGTAGCACCTGTAGGTGAATCCTGTAGCACTGGCAGAAGAAGTCACATGATTGGAAAATTCATTGTAATTGGGTAGTCATGACAACTATAACCAGAGTGTGTTAGAAGGCTCAAAAAGTAAATCTGCACAAACTTTTAGCCTTGTAAGTATATTGATACATGTAAGCTGTGCTTACAAAAATAGTTTTTGTTCCTATAACTACGGTGGTGGTTACATACCATGGAGTAGGTTCCGACTCATAGCGACCCTGTACAGGGTTTCCGAGGCTGTAAATCTTTAGGGAGCAGAAAGCCTCATCTTTCTCCCGCGGAACAGCTGGTAGTTTCGAACTGCTGACCTTGAGGTTTGCAGCGCAATTCATAACCACTACGCTACTATGGAAATTTTAATAAAAAGTAATAAATTTCTGCTGAAACACCACATAAAAATTTTAGTCATTTCCATGTCACCGCCTCTGGACTGACTGGACAACAGTGTCACTGGTTGCATCTGAACCTCCTGTGACCCCCTAGTGATGTCACTGTCTCTACATCTGTTGGTTCATTTGTTAAAATGGAACCACTACCGTTTGTCACTTTACAGAATGCCAGCATCATATGCTAGAAAGAATATGTTTTTTAAATCTTATGGACCTAACAGTGGAGTCTGGTGCTGTCCAGAACAATTGGCCCTGTGGCCTTAGCACATTCTTAGACTTCTCTGACTTTTAATTTCCTAATTATAAAATAGAAAAATGAAACATTCCATTTCATAATGCTTTTGTGAGAATTAAATAAATGTGAATACTTTGGCTCAACAAGTATACAAGTTCTCTCCTACCCTCCTTAGAAATTTTGTGAAGATTAAATACATGATGAAATTCAAAAAATGAAAACTCATGCTCTGTCTTTTTAAGTCCTACAGGGTAATTCAACTGTTGTTGTTGTTGTTAAGTGCTGTCGAGTCGGTTCTGACCCATAGCGACCCTGTACAGGGTTTCTGAGGGTATAAATCTTTACGGGAGTAGAAAGCCTCATCTTTCTCCCGTGGAGCGGCTGGTAGTTTTGAACCGCTGACCTTAAGGTTCGCAGCCCAATTCGTAACCACTACGCTACCAGAGCTGACGTGTATTTAAATGAAAGGAGGAAAAGTACAACTACTTTGAAGACAATATTTTTTCAATCTAAGATCTTTCAAATAAAATACAATAGTCTAAATATTTATTATCTTCATTTATGAAAGAGGAAACTAAGGATAATAGAAGATTAGTGGTGTTTCAAACCACTTATAACTGGGATAGAGTGGGATTTGAACCCAGGGATACTGTTTTGCAACTCTGGTATCTTCTCTTGGAACCTCCCACATTGTTTACAGCAATATTACTTATTTGTCATCGTTTAACTTAACCTTAGCTTACTTTCATCCATTGACTATCTCAGAAGAGAAGAGTCATACAAGAATAATTTTTGGATATGATCATTTTTTGTGGCTTAGTACATTAGATGTTGTGATGCAGGGAGGGAGCTTACTTTAAAAGAAAAGTTACGTCTTGCTCCTACAGCTCTTACACTTGCATTGTGTCCAGACCACAGATATAAAGGCCTCAGGATTAACTAGTTGACCTCAGTCAGGTTTCCTTCCTGTTCTTCTGGTCTGTTCCTTTTCCTGTCTCTTTTCCAAATCATAGTTGGATCTGCTTCAGATTACTCATTTCAGAAAATGTTCATTCAAATGAAGATCAGTTCCAAATAAAATCTAGTTCCTCCCTCTGCTCTTACCCCATGGTTGTTGTTCTTTTTAAGTGCCATCAAGTCAGTTCTGACCCACAGCAACCCTGTATAGGGTTTTCAAGGAGCAGCTGGTGAGCTTGAACTACCGACCTTGTGATTCAAACTGACTTTGCAATCCAATGCATTAACACACAACACCACACCAGAACTCCATCCAACAGTTAGATGCTGGTATATACAGATTTATAATTTTGATGTTATGAAATTATTTTGGAACTAATAATGTGCTTACCTCAAGAAAATGTATTGCTGGGCTCAGAAATGAAAAATAAGCATCAAGTTAAGACAGGTGGAAGTGAGAAAGACTTTTTGAGATTCTAGAGTAGTGAGTCACAATTTGCACAGCTCTGATATTGCAAAACAACATTGGAAAAAACAAGCCTACTTCCGTCAAGTTGATTTTAGACTCACAGCAACCCTGTATAGGATTTCCAGAGCTGTAAATCTTTCCAGGAGCAGAAAAGAATTCCATGTTACATCTCTGAACATTGCGAGATGTAAATGACCACAAAACTCATGAGGTGTATTTGTCTTAGATACTTGGGAAGAGAGTTTTTTCCAATTAAGTTCAACTAAGAAATCTATGTCAAATATGTACTGCCTGTTCATCACTATCCTAACACCTACTGGGGAAACAAATAAAAATATACACACAGTCACAGTTATGAAGAAATTGGCCACCTAACCAAACTATTGTTGTTGTTAAGTGCCATCGAGTCAGTTTTGACTCATAGCGACCCTGAATAGGGTTTCTGAGGCTTGTAAATCTTTGCAGGAGCAGAAAGCCTCATCTTTCCCCTGTGGAGTGGCTGGTGAGCTTGAACCACTGAAACTGTGGTTCAAAGTCCAGTGCTTATCCTATGGAGCCACTGTGTTTCCCCCAACTAGATTGAAACTTATTAAATTGAAAGACAGATGACCAAAATAAATACTGTGGGACAGAGCTGCATACAATAGAAAGATCTAGGTAAGTTGAAACAATTGAAAAGATAGTTTAAAATTAGATTTAGAGGGAAAAGGAGGGAGCTCTTTCTTGAGGGAGTGTTAAAACATGAAAAGTATAAATAAGAATTGAATGACAGACTAACATATGTAACACCCTCACACATCTGGAAATGTTAGAAATTTAAATGAATTTAATAATGAAAAAAATAACTGAACATGGAAATGAAGCATTTCAGTAAAAAAAACAGTAAAAGAAAATCCCTGTATTTTTCCAATTAAAAAAACGCAGATGGCAAGATGTGCTTGGTTAACAATTATAACTATATTCATTGTTGCTTTAATTCAGAATGAATTATCAACCTCCTCTCAGTATATTTGTTGATTAAATTACACTAAATGTGTTCGGCACTTCTGGGTGTCTTCTGGGTTTACAATTACAATGAATATCAAGCAGTCTTCTAGTGATGTTTCTATTCCTAGAAATGATTAAAGTGATGCTTGGAAGAATAAATGACTTATTGATAGAAGTAGAACAGATATCCTATCCGTTGGATTCCAAACCTATCCATATTATTTGTATCTCTCATGCTCAATTATATGAGTTAAGAAGGTTCTGTGTGGCATACACACAGTAAGAAATGAGTTAAAATTGGAAAAAGATAATTGGGTGGGATTCCTGTTTCCTACATAACCATGTTTGTTAGGTCTGCATTCCTTACCACAATCCTCTTATACAACTGTAGATGATTTTATCCTTGCTAAAAGGAGCTCTGGTAGCGTAGTGCTAACCTCAAGGTTAGCAGTTCGAAACTACCAGCTGTTCCATGGGAGAAAGATGAGGCTTTCTGCTCCCATAAAGATCTACAACCGTGGAAACCCTGTGCAGGATCACTGTGAGTTAGAACTGATTCCACAGTACTTAACAACAACAGTAACAATCTCTGGGCAAATTATTGAATGATGTATAAAGCATAAAAAGAAGATGGAAGGCATACACAAAATCACTGTATCAAAAGAAAATGGTCTATGTTCAAATGTTACAAGAGGTAGCATATGATCAAGAGCCAATGATACTGAAGTCCAAGGTGCATTGAAGGAATTGGCAAAGAT